CTTCCAAATTTCTTGGCAGAGATGAGTGAGTGCCTCTTGTGCTGCCTCACTTTCTTGAAAGATTTCAATTTTGATTCCATCAATTCCTGGTGCCTTGTTCTTTGCCAATTCTTTCCATGCACTTTAGACTTCCTCCCTGAGTATCATTGGCTCTTGTTCATATGGTACCTCTTGAAATGGTTGAACATTAATTAACCATTTCCTTTTGATACAATGATTCTGTATTTTCCTTCCATCTTCTCTTGATGCATTCTTTTGAGAATAGGATGATGAAAGTGATATACTTGTGTCTACTTGTACCTTCTCATTGCTCTTTGTGCACATAATCTGGGAACAGTAATTCCTGGGTGGTGTGAATGGTTCATTAGTTGGTTCAAGTTCCCCCAGAGGCACTTCCTAAGAAAGGCCTGATGATTTAATTCCAGGAAAAGCAGTCATTGAGGCCCTGGGGTGGTTCCAACTCATCCAAGTGGAAGAAAACCCTGGTCTGTAAAGATTACAGCCAACACACGGGATTGGCATGAGTGGGGATGGGTTTTGGTTTAACCTAGGAATCTGTGGAAGTGTTTCAATAAGTACCCATTAATAAATGACTGGAGTCCTGGTGTGGCGCTGTAGGATAAGCATTGGACTATCAAACCCACCAACTACTCTTTGGAAACCCTATGTTGGTGTTTGCCACCGACTCATAGCGACCCCTCTGCACAACAGAAGGAAACACTGCACGGTCCCGTGTCAGCCTCACAATCATTGCTAATCCTGAGCCCATGGCCACCACCACTATGCCAATCCATCTCCTTGGGGGCTCTTCCTCTTTTTCTCCACCTTCCACTTTACCAGACATGATATCCTTCTCCAGGGACGGCCCCTTCATCAGGGTCGCTGTGAGTCAGTAAGACTCGAAGGCACAAAAACAGTAACAATAAACGACTTTCTTTGCTCGCCCTAGAGAGTTAGTTCCAAGTCTTCGAGATGAAGTTTTTAATCAGGTTAGGAAGAAAAGATGCCAAGTTTCCCCACGGGGACCGGAGGGAGGTGCTGGGACTGGAAGTGGAGGTGGGGCCAATGGATTGCCCTGGAGCGGCTTTATCTTTTCACTCCGGAACGTTTGTTCCGCATTTCACTGCATTTTTCCCCGGACCCTTTTGAGCAACGAGCCCTTGCACTTCCGGTGTCACCAGGCAAGTTGGCGTGGCCCTCCCGTTCTCTGCCTCGCGTGCTCCGACAGGTTCCCTTGCGGCCACACACAGTGTGGGTGTCCAGTTTAATGGCGGGGTTGACGCTGTTTGTGGGCCGCCTCCCGTCCTCGGCTCGCAGTGAGCAGCTGGAGGAGCTGTTCAGTCAGGTTGGGCCAGTGAAGCAGTGCTTCGTGGTGACTGAGAAAGGTAGGGGCGGCGGTGGAGGATCCGGCTCGGGTATCCCGGGAGTGGGATGGGGGCCAGGACATCCTCCTAAACTTTAGGAAACCGTAGAATTCTTTACCTGTCCCTAAGAGAAGAGACTGGGAATTGATTTTCTTTTTCAGACGGACTCTGACATGTTCACGGAGTCCTGGTGTGGCACTGTGTAGGATAAGCACTGGATTGCGAACTACAAGGTTAGCGGTTCAAACCCACCAGCTCCTCTGAAACCCTGTACAGGGTCTCTGTGACTTAGCATGAAGTCCTGATGTGCCGCTGTAGGATCAGCTCGGGATTGCGTGACCTTTTTATTGTGAATTGAAGGAAGTTTTATAGGGCAGGTCATCAGTTTGACGTTCAACTAATCTTACACTATGTTTCTTCTCAGTGTTTGCAATGATAAATGTAACATCATTTATCCCACTTCCTCTGCGTTTCTTTCTTTCTTTTTTTTTGCAACTGTTTACTGTGAATTCAGTGAGGGTTTACAGACAAGATCATCAGCTTTATATTCAACAAATCACACACATTGTTTCTTCTCAATGATTACAATCCCCTCCTTGCCACAACAGTTACCCTGTTTCCTCCCTGTGGTTTATATTTATGTTCATTCACTTTCCCATGCTTTCTCAACTTTTGTCCTTAGGAAATTGTTGCCCTTTTGATATAGGATGATTGACCATTCCATGGTGAGCATATTTTGTTGGTGTTATTCCCCCCAGCTCCCCCTGATAAATCTACCTACTGCTTGGTGGAAAATTGGGCCATGAGGATGAGCTCCTTTCCAGACCTGGAGGGTGGCGGAGGGTGGCTACGTAGCCTCAGGTTCCTCCAGTCTCTTTCTGACAAGTAAACCTGTTTTTTTTGTTGTTGTTGTTAAATAATTTTGAGTTTTGCTTTGCATTTTCTCCCACTCTATCCAGGAACTTCTAATGTGATCCCTTTCAGGGAAGTTGGTAGTGGTAGCCAGGTCCTGTCTAGTTGTTTTGGTCTCAGAGTTGTGGCGACTGATGTTCACGTGTTCTAGTAGTCCATTGGACTAATAGATTCCAAGCTTCTTCAGTACTTATCACTCTTCTTTCTTCTGCGCAGGGAGAGACCAGTAGCTGCACCTTAGATAGCCGCTTATGAGTTTTCATGATCCTGTATGCTACTTACCCAAGCAGCATGTAGAACATTGTCACTGGACTATGTTAAGCCAATTGACCATGGTGTCCCCTGAGACTATGGGCCTGAGCTCCAGGCCCATCAAATCATTGCATTAAGATGCTTGATAATATTTAGGAAGTTTTCATCATTTGCTTGCTGTATGCTGCACGACATTCAGAGTTGCGTTTTCAGGAAAGAAAAATAGTCATGTACAAATATCTTCGTTCAAACTCTTGTATATATGTGGGATATATAAGTATATATATATATCATATTCTTCCTCTCTTACCCTTTCAACCTATGGGTCACTACTTGATTCAGAGGCACTTAACAACAACAATAGATGTGTTTATTTAAGTTAAAGCATTCCCTTGAGTTTCTAAAGCACATTCAGTTTGTTACAGGCATTCACCTATAACATCTTACTTGGTAATAATGATGATTACTAATTTTGAGTAAAGCGTCTGTAAAGAGTACTGGTGTGGCACTGTAGGATAAGCGTGGGATTGCTAACCACAAGGTCAGTGGTTAAAACCCACCAGCAGCTAGCTCCTTGGAAACTCTAGACAGAGTCACTATGAGTCATTACTGATTGAGGACACGCAAAACAACAAGACACTTAACAGCAATAACAACAAAGTGCTTAAGAACAACAACAAGGCTTACTGACACTAAGGCACTCTTGAAATTTACATGTTGTTGTTAGGTGCCATGGAGTCTGTACCAACTCATAGCCACCCTATGTACGACAGAACAAAACACTGCCTGGTCCTGTGCCAACCTCACAATCATTGATACATTTGAGCCCATTGTTGCTGCCACTGTGCCAATCCATCTCATTGGGGGTCTTCCACTTTTTCTAAGACCCTCCATTTTACCAAACATGATATCCTTCTCCAGGGATGGATCCCTCCCAATAATATGCCCGAAGTATGAGAGCCAAAGTCTGGCCGTCCTGGCTTCCATGGAGCACTCTGACTACTTAATACAGATGAGTTTGTTCTTTTGGCAGTCCATGGTACTTTTAATCTCTTCCAACACCATAACTCAAATGCATTAATTCTTCTCTAATCTTTCTTGTTCACTGTCCAACTTTTGCATGCATATGAGGTTACTGAAAATACCATGACTTGGGTCAGGTGCACTTTAGTCTTCAAACTGACATCTTTGCTTTTGAACACTTTAAAGAGGTCTTGTGCAGCAGATTTGCCTAATGCAGTACATCATTTGATTTCTTGACTCTTGCTTCCATGAGCATTGATTATGGATCGAAGCAAAATGAAGTCTTTGGCTACTTCAATCTTTTCTCCATTTATGACGTTATTTATTGGTTCAGTGTGAGGACTTTGTTTTCTTTACTTTTAGGTGCAACCCATATTGAAGGCTGTGGTCTTTGATCTTCATCAGTAAGCATTTTAAGTCCTCTTTTCTTTCAGCAAGCAAGGTTGTATCAACGGCGTATTGCAAGTCGTTAATGAGTCTTTATCTTATACTAATGCCGTGTTTGTTTGTTTTTTCATATAATCCAGCTTCTCAGATTATTTGCTCAGCATACAAATTGACTAAGTATGGTGAAAGAATACAACCTTAGTACACACCTTTCCTAATTTTAAACCAGTGTTCCCTTGTTCTGTTTGGACAGTTACCTGTTGGTCTATGTACAGGTTCCTTATGAGCACAATTAAATGTTCCATAATACTCATTCTCCAAAATGTTGTGTGGCTTGTCATGATCCACACAATTGAAAGCCTTTGCATAGTCAATAAAGCAAAAGTAAACATCTTTTTTTATATTCTTTGCTTTCAGCCAAGATCCATCTGATGCCCTCTTCTGAATCTTGCTTGAACCTCTGGAAGTTTTCTGTCAATGTATGGTTACAGTCATTTAAAAATTATCTTTAGCAAAATTTTGCTTGCATGGGACATTATGATACTGTCCAATGATTTCCACATTCTGTTGGATCACTTCTCTTTGGAATGGGCCCAAATATTGATCTCTTCCAGTCATTTGGTCAGGTAGTTGTCTTCCAGATTGCTTGGCATAGATGAGTGAGTGTTTCCAGTGCTGCAACAGTTCATTGAAAGATTTCAATTTATATTCCATCAAT